AATAGGGAATTAATTACCATAGGAGAGGGGGGCAGCCTTTCAGCTCGGGCTGAGTTTTATTAAACGCCAATATAAATAACAAAACAACTCTTGTGGCCGCGCTATTCCTACACGCCAAAGGAGGGATTATGCCGCGGATTAACATCTTAAAGTCTATGGGACTTTCTGACTCAGGGCTCCGAGCTGGTAATCGTGTTTGTCTCCTGGTTCAGCGATTAGTGCTCTCTTCCCCGGGATGGCCAGTGTCCCTTTTGCAGGCGCACGGGTTTAGGGAGGGTGTGCTCTTCCTAGTGGGGCGCCAGCTCCCCAACATTTTCCCATCACCGGAGCGAAAACAGTCAGCAGGCGCCCCAGCAATGGCAAGAATCCTACAGTGATTTCCCTCCTCGGGGAAAAGAAGCGGCGAGGGAGAAGTGGGTGGTCTCAAGGGCGGGGAGACCCGGCCGGGACTCAGCGTCCCCAGGTGTCACGCGGGGTTAAGAGAGGCGACCTGAAGGCGAAGGGGGAGCCCGCCGTGCGCAGCCCCGGTCCCTGGTGCTGGACTCGATCAGGAGCACTCGGTGTGACTTGAGGGGGAAGGGGGCTTAGAGACGCCTCCTCCCCAGACCGCGCGGAGGGGTCCACGGTCTCCAGGAAGAGTGGCCTTGGCGCAGTCTCCTCTCCAGCGGCGGCTGTGGATCAGGACGAAGGCAGAGAATGAGACTCCATGATTCCTTTGGTTCCTTGATTCCCGAGATCAGGACCTCCCCTCAACCCGAACTCACTCTCCCTTTCGGTGCTTACCACCCCCCTCCCCCGTACCAAACCCTGGGATCGCAGGGAGACCTTTCCAGCGGAGAAAGAGAATTGTCTCCAGCCCTTCTCTGCAAATTGCTAGGGAAGCGTGCAGAGGAAAGATATTTGCAACTTTCTCGCCATGTCTGCGTTCTTCTAGGAGCTTGCAACCCGAGTAGGATTTGGACTCCAAAAGGCAGCACAGTTGGCACAGGCTGGGACGCCCCGACCTCGTGTCACCGGTCGCCCCTCCCAGCTCCCTGGGACTCATCCACCGCAGCCAGAGTTGGCCCCGGGACCGTTTGTCCTCCTTCGCCACTTGTGAGGTCGAAGTGTGGACGGGATGTAGCCGATGGCCCCACAGCAGCACCTACCCTAAACTTTAGGGCTTTGGGTCGTCTCAAAGTTCAAGCTTCTTAGAAGCAACAAAGACTTTCTAAAGCTCTCCACCCCGCCCCCTCCGACTTCGCGGCCCCCTCGCTACACGAACCCCGGCCCCTTTCTTTCTAAGGCTTGGGGATGAGTTTAAATCATTGTGTTCCCATTTCTTGATAACCGCCCGCTTTGAGCTTTTGTTCTTGTAAAGTAGGATTGCACACTGAAAGAGGGGCTGGAGATGAGCAGTTTGACCCCTTAGGACAGTTCACGCCTGGGACTCGGCCCCGGTCGCCGTCCTCGCCGTCTATTCAGGGGGCCCCTCCCCCTCCCCATAACATTTCAGCCTCGTTTCATCTGGACAATCTTTGAGACCACACAAGTGCCTCTTGAATTTATTTAAAAGAGTGCTAGAAGCGTCCAGCTAAGGGTATTTGGTGTTGGTCACGTCTTGGTAAATCGAAATTCCTTTTTTTGTCTCCTTAGCAAAACTGTGCAAAATGCTGAACAAATAGAATTTTGCTGTCCAGGCAGCTGAGCATGAACGGTGGGCTTCTGGGTGGCAAGAGTGTTTGTTAGCTTATCTTCGGCCCGTTTTTTTTTTTTTTTTTTTCTTAAATGATATTTTTCATGGACATTTCCAGAAGTGTTAAAGCAACAACACAAACACTGGAAACTCTTTGAGTTCCAAGATGACACAGAAAAAATATCAACAGTACTTTGCATAATAGTCTATCACAGATTACCTACCACAGTATATACCCTCAAAAATACTTATTTTCAAAATAAAATTCTATGAACTACAGGCATCTTGGTATTTCAGCGAATTAGAGACTGTTTATAGCAAATATATACAACCCTGAGTTTTACAACAGTGTGACTATTTTCTCTTTTTGAAGGAAACTTTGAGAATAAGGAATGTGCAGTTTATCCTAATACTATTACCATTCCCTAACATCTGCACGTTTCTATGTGCATCTCATAGGATATGGAGAAAGTAGTGCTTCTGTCAGATGAGCTTTCCATGAGTCATAAAATCCTGAAAGAATGTAAAAACCAAGGAGTCAGACACCCCCAAACTGTTACAATCACTTAAAGCAATCCACTGTGCATTTCAGTAGCACTATGCAACGAACCAGTTTGATCTCATTGTCTTTGGAGCAACACAAGACTGGACAGGCTTCCCTCAACCCGCTGCTCAGCTGGGATTCCAACTGTGCTCTTCTCCCAAATGTATCCATCACGAAATCCACCCAGCACTTCCTAGCCAAGTCCAGCAGCCTGTCTAAAGACACGTTGCAATTGGCAGTAAAATAACCCTTCCTTTCTTTTCTATTACATCAAGCTGTTGACCTGTCCGTGGAGAGACACTGATGTCCCCAGATGGACCCACCATAATTCCTCCCGTCATTCCATTATTTCTTTTCAGCAGGCTTTAAACTTTTTCTCAGAATCTAGCTTTCTCAGCCTTTATTCATTCTAATTTACAAAAACCCCTAGAGCCACTCCCTTCCATCCCTTCCAGTTAGTACCCTTGGCGGATTTCTGTTTAGAGAGACTTTGAGAAGAATATTTGCTTGTTTGACTGGAGTGCTCACTGGCTATAAAACAATGCTAGCTATATCACAAATAGGCACAAGTAAAGTTATCTCAATTGCAGAATTAATATGCTTGTGTGTGTACATAGCTAAGTTAAGGGAATACTGACCTATCTTGTGCTTGACTAAACTCCTTCATGAAGTTTTGGTCCTACACAGAGACCCAAAGGAGAAAGAAAGCGGGATAGAGGCTGTGTGCTGAGGAGCCTGAATGTGTTTTTTTGTTTTTTCTTCTTTTTAATTTTAGCTCCTGTAGCAAATGAAATGAAGTTGTTCGGAAAGGCTGAGGGGTGGCTAGGGAAATAATGCTTTTAAATGCAGGGAATTAGCTTTACAAAGAGAAAAGATGGACACAAATCAAAGTCAAATGGAAAAAGATGATAGTTTTCAAATAATTTCAAGTAGAAGGAAGTCTGGAGGATGGAGAGCTGATTTTCATTTTCTTCACTTGATGTCGTCCAGTCCCACTCCAGGCCTCCCTGCAGAAAGCAGTGAGGAAATTCAACCCGAACACCAGCCACCTACTTTCCGCAGTTGCTTCTCTGAAATTCAACTTTTAAAAAATTCCTACAACCGTGGAAGACAGCGACCCAGAAGGCAGCATTTTCCTTCTTTAGCCACTCTGGGCTCCTAACACTCCAAACGCGCCTCGCTTACACTTGATTTGCAGAAGGGGTGGGACCGCCTCTCTTCATTCCTTGTCCCTCTCCGCCACCTGTGTAGCTTCCGTCACCGGGCACTAGAGGGCAAACTTCCCGAGGTTCCGGGGTCCGCGGCTGAGAAATCCCCACGCGGGACGAGACTGGGCGTGAACCAGGGGGAGAGGGAGACCGATGAGTGGTTAGAACTAGTTCACCGAAGTCGGGCCTCCAGCTCCCTTTTCCCGTTGAAGAGCGGCAGAATCCGGAGGACCGGTCCGGAGGTCGCGGAAATGTCAGCGTAGCCCCTCCAATCGCTGCCCCGCGCCGGAAGCCTCCTCGCTGTCCAGTTGCCCTCTAATCTGGGGTTGGCACAGGCCCTGGCCCCCAAACCTGTGTCGGTGCGGGGAGCCCATTTGTGGTGGGTGAAAACCTGCAAGCTCCCTAATGCCACGTCTTCGGAGGGCCTACGCCGTCCTCAGTGGAGGCGACGCCTGAAAACCCCAACGCTCTTTATCTTCTCTGCGAAACCCAGGTGCGCTTGCCACCAAGTACCTCCGCCCGCCTGCCACCCACGTCCCTGTCTCCCCTAACCAAATGAGTCTTCCAGATTGTCCCCAGTTTGTCGCAGCCCCTAAGCGGCTGTGCCAGGAGACACCCGCTGCCCTATCGACTTGCCGCTTTCCCCAGATGCCGACCCCATTAACTAATTCTCAGCCCCAGCGCGGCCGGGAGCCAGCGACGAGGCCAGAGCGGCGGGCGCGCGCGCGGCGGGGCGGGGGCTACAGCTCGGGTCTCCGCGTGCCCCGCGTCCCCGACCCCCCGCAGCCCCACAGCCCGGCGCCCCGGGCCCCAGCGGACCCCGCGGCCTCGGCCCCCAGTTCCCGCGGCCCCGGCGTCCTGCGCCGGGCCCCTAATGAGCAGCTGAAAGGCAGCGGCTCCACTGCGCGTGGCTCGCAGGCCTCCCGGAGCCTGTGTGCGCTGATTGGCCAGCTGCGCCTCGCGACCCCATTCATTAATAAATTAGCGGCACGCTCCAGCCGAGCGCGAGCCGCCAATCACAAAGGACAGCGGCGGCCACCGCACCGCCACCCGACCCTGCGCCCCGGCCGCTCTTTGCTGCGTGGCTCCTTGCAGCCTGGAGCCGGGGCAGATCTTTGGAACCACTTTATGCTGATGAGATAAAGGGGAGGGGCGGGTGGCGGAGGCAGGAGGACTAGGACCAAGGGACGCAGGGCCTGGGAGGGGGAAGGGGGGAAGAAAGAGAAAGAAATGAATGATGATAATGCAATGAAAAGGATCGGCCGAGAAGGGGAGGCGGGGGCGCAGGGGGCCGGGCTGGGGTGGCGGGGAGGGGGTGGGAGCCCGGGGGCACAGCTGATTGTTTTCTGGGGTGTATATAAGGGGTTTTAAGGAAAGTCGTGTGCCAGACACGCAGCCACTGAACCACAAGCAGCTTCGCGTTAACTGGAGAGCCTGGGAGTCGCGTGCCAGGAGCCGAGGACTGAGTGACAGACAGACGGGCCCGGCCGCCGGCCCACACAACCCTTGGGGCTCCGGACTCTGAGGTCCCACGTCCCCTACGGAGCCGCGGCTGCAGCACCCGGCCGCGGGGACGAACGCGGCAGGTAGGTGTCCTCGCCGCAGTCCGGCCTCGCCCGCATTGTCCCTGCGCCGAATCGGCCTCCGAGCCCGGCGCGGAGCGTGGCAACAGCTCCCTGGCGGCGCGTCCTGGAGCGAGGCGCGAGTCCCGGAGCGGCCGGGGCGGGACCTCCTTTCCTCTCCCTCCTCCCGGGGTGTCCAAGCGCAGCCTCCGTCCGCTCGGGGTGCCCTTCCATGCCCGACTCATGCGTGTCCCCTCCCGTCCCTGCTCTCCCCCGCAGGATGTTCGTCAAGTCTGAGACCCTGGAGCTCAAGGAGGAGGAGGAAGTGCTGGTGCTGTTGGGCGCGGCCTCCCCGGCCTCAGCCGCCCTGACCCCGCTGTCGTCTAGCGCGGACGAGGACGAGGACGAGGAGCGGGGAGTGCGTGGCGGGGCGCGCGGGGCCGGCCCGGGGGCGGCGGGCACTGGTGGTTGCGGGCCGGCGCGGCTGCCGGGGCTGGGGCTCGAGTGCAAGCGGCGCTCCCAGCGCTCTCGGGCAGCCTCGCGTGGCGCCAAGACGGCCGAGACAGCACAACGCATAAAGAGGACGCGCAGGTTGAAAGCCAACAATCGCGAGCGCAACCGCATGCACAACCTCAATGCGGCGCTGGACGCGCTGCGCGAGGTGCTGCCCACCTTCCCCGAGGATGCCAAGCTCACCAAGATCGAGACGCTGCGCTTCGCGCACAACTACATCTGGGCGCTCACCGAGACGCTGAGGCTAGCTGAGCACTGCGGAGCCGGCCTGCCGGGGGCGCTCTTCCCCGAGGTCTCAGGCGCCGCGCCCCGCAGCGGCGGGGACAGCCCGTCGCCGGCTCCCACGTGGAGCTGCACCGCCAGCCCCGCGCCGTCCTCCGCCGCGTCCTCCAGCTCCACCTCCCCCCACAGCTGCACTTTGTCTCCCGGAAGCCCGGCGGGGTCCGACCTGGACTACTGGCCGCCGCCCGCCGACAAGCAATGCTACGCGCCGCACCTGCCCCTGACTGGGGACTGCCTCGGGCCTTAGCGGGCCCTCATCCTCCCAGCACCAAGCCCTCGTTCAAGGCCTCCTAGGGTGGCCGTCGGTTCCTGGCCGTGGGCTCTCCCCAGGGAATGGCTTTTGGGGTACTACCCTGGGCCCGCGGTGCTTGATGGCGTTGGGCAGACCACGCTTCTCCCTGTTCCCGCCCGGGAATAGCCGGGAGCCCTCCAACTGGTCCCAGTGGTCTCTTCACCTTCGCTCCTGCATAGAGATGTTAATGTCGCTAGAAAGCCGTGTGTCCCAGCAGCTGAAAGAGTTCGCCGGTAATAATGTTATCCACAGACCCGCCGCGCCGTGCAGGCACCTGCTTCTTCCCATTGCGGCCTGCGGGCGGTGGGAACTTCACCTGTCAAACCAAACTTTCCCTCTTTGACGCGCACTTTGTTCCTTTTCCCAGATTCGTCACAATGCCTATTGTCCCATCCTCCTCTTTTCTTTTTTCTTCCCCATTGGGCCATCTGCCTCTTATGATTTATAAGGGGAGAAAAAAAATCTTGTTTTGTGAGAGGGCCAGGTTAGAAGTCATTGTATAATTTGTAGGCTTTGTGACGATTGAATGCAAGCGTGGAAATTTAGGCTGAACTCTGTATCAAAAGGAAAAATGTGGAGGAAAAGGGAAAAATCAGGAGGGAGGATTGCTTCATACATTATTCATCTCGACCTTTTAGGGGAGGGGGAACTCCCCCATTCTTTCAAGAGATTAAAAATAAATCAACAGTCTGAAAACCCGAGCAGACACGGAGAATTACCAGGATCAGCCACACACGTGTTCCCTTCTATTTATTATAAAGAAAATTGTCATGGGAAGATAATGTATTTTTTGTATATTCTACAGAGTTTATTCTAGTATGTATTTACACCTTGAACAAGAAAATCGTTCTTGTGATTAAGCTATAAATAAAGTATCTAATTTTCATAAATTTCATGTGCTGTGTTCTGATCTTTTCTTGCCAACTCAGTGGTTAGGTGCAGAATGAGACGTGCTCTTCCCTGTCAAACAGAAAACTCGCATTTGGGGACAGTGTCTGATGTGATGTCTAGCTAAGAAAGCAGAAAAATGCTGAGTCTTATTTGAGCCTTCATCCCTAAAATAACAGGAAACACTTGTATAAGCACAAACTTTACAAGAAATCAATGATTGAACAAATGGGGGGGAGCATTAAATGACAGCAAAGTCACAGTGAGCTCCAAAGTGTGTGGAGGGACTTCATTTTTAAAAACTACGAACTTGCAATTTCTTGGTGGCATGTGTAGAAATTTGGTTCTTACACTTAACCCTTTTAAATTTCAAACCTCATCCATAGGCCACAGGGATTGGGCAGCGAACCGCGATGGGCCCCTTCCAGTGCGCACATCTGTGAGGTGCGAGCACTTATCTGTTCATTACTGGAAGCTGATTTTGTATTCACTACTTTAACAAGCTAGTTGGCTTGAAAAGCAAACTCCTGCTGGAAAAAAGAAAATATTCAGAGTAAGCTTGAATAGACAATATATGTGAATAGCTCTGCCTTCTAATCTTTGTTAATTACCTAGCCAGAACTTCTTCAAAAGGAATAAAAATTGTCCAACTCTCACTTTCATCTCTAATGCAGAAATGAGTGACCTCTGGTTGACCTTGGCTTAAAATTGACCTGAGTTAAGGCTGACCACATTCTATGTGTAAATCACTTGAGGGATGGTGTCTATGAGAACACAGGTTTTAAAAAAATTCATTTTTTTTTTTTTTTTAATGATGGTGTTTGAGGAATCCTCCTGTGAATGCCATGTCTGTTTCTGCTTTGGTCTAAGCAATATTACTTTCTCCTAAAATGTCTGAAACTGCTCCTCTTCTCTACCTGTATGGGAAATATTATGTGTGTAATAGTTTAGTAACTATCTTTTAATCAAACTCAAGGATTTCATTTAGTTTTCATGCATTTCACATAAGAAGGACCTGTTGGAATATCCCTTCTAGTTTAAAGATTGTGTTATTATTCCTGATTAAGAATGAATGGGTAGGGGCTGGGGAGATGGCTCAATGGAATAAGCGCTTCCCTGGCAACTGAAAGGGCCTGAGTTCAATCCCCAGTTCTGGGGAGGGGAAAAAAAAAAGAATGAATGGGTTCACTCAGTGTGGGGCAAAAGAGACAGATCGCTTATCTATATGTATACTTTCAGTATTTAAAAAGCTGATCTGTTGAGCAAGGCAATTTTAATGTGAGGGTTTGGAAACATCAGTTTTGATGACACTGTTGACAACACTTGTGATGATCCCCAGGACCTCCTGTGGGAACAGCTCCAGGTACCTCTCTGGATGCACACCCAAGGCATGTTCATTCTCCCAGCTGCAGAAACCTCCTCAGTGAGTGAGGTTAGCTGACCCCATAACCACATGATCCAAATGGTTTAGTTGGAGAGGCAGGGATGAGTGGGTGGCCCAGTAATTTTACTTTTACTCATTATTTTAATTATTATTATTATTTTTGAGACAGTCTCTCTCTGATCAGCCCAGGCTGGCCTGGAATTTGCCATCCTCCTGCCTCAGCCTCCCGAGCATTGAGATGCCAGGTGTGTGCCACCGTGCCTGTCTCAAGCGTAAAAGCATCACAGCTTATGAGTGAGCACCTGGGCCTAGCAGACAGCAGTCTGTCTACAGCATTTGTCCAGGCCCAGACTTGTGCTTGAGCGGTCAGAGGCAGAGCCAGTTCCCCTTATACAGCAGCTGTGAGTCACATGTGCCCAGGGCTCCCCTGCCATCCAAGACCCCCACACATATACCAACTTTGCATGATTACTTTTAGGGCATGCTGTCATCTGTGTGGTTAGAAACTTTCTTAGTGTTGCTCTTGGGCCTAAGGCCTGTCTCCTCCACTCGCACCCCAACCTCTCCAGGTATTAGCAGAAGGTCCCCTTGGCACCAGGGAGCTTGACGGCTTCTGGCTCTACTGTGCTGCGGTTTCTCAGGCCTGCTGCCTTCCCATCCTGGTGGATTTAGGAAGGGTTCAGAAGGCCCCTATGAGACATTCTCCCCCTACCCATAGCTCCACACTGCTGCACTGTGGGTCTTTCCAGCCCCTGGGGCAGCAGCCCAAGGCAAAGAGGCTGAGAGGCTTAAGACTGGGCCTGTCCTCTCTGGGCATTGCCTCAGCCCAGCTGTGGACCAGCATTGGTTCTATTTATTTGTCCTAAAGGGTTGAGGCCTTGACAACTTACTTTTCCTTCACCAGATTTTTTGGTGGCGGTGGGGGAGTTGTTGGGGATTGAACCAAGACCTCTGTACTATATCCTCAACATCCTCCTCCCCTTTAATTTTGAGACAGGGTCTCCCTAAGTAAAATTGTCCAGGTTGGGTTTCAGTTTGAGGTGCCCCTGACTCAGCCTCCTGTAGTGTTGGGATTGAGTTATACACTGTAGGAGGGGCTGGGGTTTCAGGCTTCACTGTCCCCAGGCAAGAGCCAGGTGGCAGAGGAAGGTTCCAGTCTGCCTTCCCCAGAGCCCAGCCTGGTGACCGCACAACTGGGCACCTAACCTGGAGGTGTGGGGTACGCTTCTCCTGGTGTCTCACTTTGTAGTGCAGGGTGTTTTCGAAGTCACTATGTGGCCCAGGAGAACCTCCTGCCTCAGCCTCTGACTGTGGACTGTGTTAATTCAGTAAACCGTGCTCCCTCTTACAGTGCCAGCATGCCTTAATCCTAACTGGGACGTCCGACCTCCGTGTCAGTAGAATAAGCAGAGTAAGATAAATCCTGGACCCGAGTCCATCGCTCTGCTAGCCTGCCTGCCGGGAGCGCGCGGGGTGTGGGGGGGGGCGGGGGGGCTTACAGGGCAGGGGGGCTGATCCATTTCTTTCCACCCTGGCAGGGGCTCCTTGTGTGGTAAATAACTCCCCCTCCATTGTCCTTTTCCTAAGAAAAAGGGCATTTGCCTCATCAGTGATTTGGCGTGGCCCAAACCACAAGCTTGGAGCCTGAGCCTCAGGGCAGCGGGGTCAGCAGCAGGGCGCACATGCCGGGGGCCACTTCAGGGATGGCGAGGGAGCCGGCGTGACCTCCAGGGTTCTGCCGCTCAGTGCCGTCCCTTCACCGCTTTCCTTTCTCTTAGGAACACAGCTCCGACAGTTCCACGGTCCCTGATGGGAGCCAGCGAAGGCACCCGGGCGTCCCATCCCTGCGGAGCAAATACTAGCGGGAATTCTCCGTGCGGGGCGAGGCGGAACGTATGGGAGCCTCGACAGGGGCGCCACCTTCCCGCTCCTTTCGAGCCCCAACTGCTGGGCCGCAGAGGGTCGGGGAACAGCGCCGTCCCTCCCCCACTCTCTTTCTCTCTCTCCGTCCTTTTACCGTGCTAAGCCTGCACTGCACAAGCGGTGGCTTCTGTGTTCGCAGTGTCTCTGCGCAGCCGGGAAGGACCCGGGCCCAGAGTTTTCCAGCGAGGGCAGACTTGGAAGGTTTGGCTTTGGGGACAGCTCTTTAAGTTTGTGGAGTGCGGCTACAGAGACCCACCATGGCCCTGAGCACTTGTGCCCTCCCTGGCTGGCCGCATCCAGCCTCTCTGCGTGTGTTTCATGGACAGTGTTGAGGCCCAGCGTTTCCCACATCCTCCATCCTTCCTTTGCAGCGACCCCATTCCTTGTCTGTTTCTCTCCTTCGCAGAGTCTTGTTTCATACCTGCCGTCCAGCACTGGAAGAACAGTGGTAGAAAGGCCTGAAGCCTCTCACCTATTCCGTTTGTTGCAGAAACAAATAAAAATGCTAAAGTCCACGGAAAAGTGGAAACAAGAGCCTTTAGGATGTAGACAGAACTCAGGGCTGGTTTCCATGGCAGCAGCTTGCAATACAGGCTTCACTGACAAAGGAGTCATCTTCTCTTTCAGCCAGGTTGATGATGGATAGTTGTGCTGGTTTCAATGTAACAGTTTCTCACCACTGTCATGCTGTGGGCCACTGTGGGACTGGAAAGGGGGGTATTACATCCTTCCATGGTATAAGAATGGTCTAGCCAGTGGCCATGTAGGATGGTGGCCCTCCAGACTGGCTATGACTTCCGTGGTAGCAGAGGGATTACAAATGAAGAACTCCTGGGCAACCTTGTTTCGATTTTGAGTTTTTCAAGGTTTTACATCATTGAAACAGCCCAAGCAAACAAATACAAGTTAGGATTCACCCTGAGGATCAGATCAATATCTCTCCCAGCCCCACTTCTTGAACAGTTTTGAGAATGATATCCAGTGAGGTCCATCCTTGAACCTCCTGGGACCTCTCTAGAGGAAACATTAACCAAAGCCATTGTCCTGCTTTCTTGGCACAGTGTCTAGGACACAATCAAACTGGTTTCTATCAGAATTACCATGGCACTAGTTTGGAAGCAGTCAAGGTAGAAAGGTGGTTTTGCTGGTAGAACAATAAACCTCTTGGAGATCTTGAATTCAAATCTAGTGATTCTCTTGAATTAGGAGGGAGTGGTCATTTACTTGTTTTGAAATACAGGGGTCTACGGCCATACTACCCTGAATGCACCAAATCTCGTTTGAAGTACTGGGGGTTGAACCCAAGACCTTCACACTGAACTACATTCCCTATCTCAGTCTTTAAAAAATCTTTCCTAAAAATAAATAAATAGATAAGTAAGTAAATAAATAAATAAAAATCTTTTTCCTGGGCCTGGTGATTCATGCCTGTAAATCCCAGCACTTGGGTGACAGAGGCAGGAAGATCACTATGCATTTGAGGACATGGGCTACATAGTGAGTTTCAAGGCCAGCCTAGACTACATAGTGAGATTTTGTCTCAATATATATATTGAGCCAGAAGAAGAACTTCATTCACTTGGCTGCGGGACTGGTTTGTGTTCGGGATGCACTTCTTATCTGTCTATCATCTATCTATCTATCTATCTATCTATCTATCTATCTATCTATCTATCTATCTATTGCCAGCTCAGCGCACCCTGGGGGCAGGGCTGGGATGGCATGTGGTGCCAAAGATCGAACCGCAGTCCCTGAGCATTTTCCTAAGCTTGTCTAAGCAAGTGCTTTAGACTGCTGAGCTATCTCACCAGCCCTGCACTTCTTATTTTCAATCAGATTTTATTGGCTCATTTTAGATGCATGCAATGATCAAGATGATCACGATGATTAGAAACGAAGAACTGCGAAAACTTGTTTTGATTTTGAGTTTTTCAGGCTTTTACATAACTGGAACAGCCCAAACAAGCAAATAGGAGATGGGATTCACCCTGACGATCTGACCAGTGTCTCTCCCAGCCTGACACTGCAGACGGTTTTGAAAATGACTTCAAGTGAGGTCTGTGCATCATAGGAAATGTGTACCTACACATGATATAACTTGTTTCCTTTTTTTTCTCATTTCCCTCCCCACCCTTCAATTCCTCCTCCCCTTCCCATTTACAAAAGCTTTGTTTTCTGTTTTTCCTTTTCTTCTCTCTCTTTTTTTCCCCCTTGGAACCGGGGACTGAACTCAGGCCCTTGCGCTTGCCAGGGAAGCACTTATTTCACTGAACCATATCCCCAGCCCTCTTCTCACTGTTAACCCCCCCACTACCTTCCCCAGTTGAACATTTTCTTCCTAGTCCATGCATGAACTGTTCTACATTTTGGTCCTTATTTACACTTATGGTTTCTCACACCAGAAAGCGATGTGGTATTTATATGGGTACCAAATTTATTTCACTTAACTGTAGTTTTCAAGGTGGATACACTTTCTTTTTATTTATTTATTTATTTATTTTTGGATACACTTTCAAATTCTAGAATTTTCTATTTTACACATTTGAAAAGATTAAGGATCTCAAAACACTCCTAACAGCTAAATCTTGGAAGCGACCTATACAATAAAGAAAATGTGGCATTCACACCGATGGTGTGCTACTCTGCTTTATAGAAAGACAAACTGGAGTGGTATGTGGTAAGATGGATACACCATAAGACCACAATTTTAAATGAGGTAATCAAGCATGCAAGCCTCAATACCATATGGTTTCTTATGTGAGAAACCCAGGATACAAATAAAGAGCGAAGAAAAGATAATAGGAAGTAAGGGGATGGGCTTTCTCAGATGAGAAGGGGGAGGGGAAGGAAAGGAAGTAGAGTTCCCACGAAGACGTGCTCTCTGCAGGGAGCAGCTCCCCATGGGGGGTGTGAGTGGCCACTGTGTGCTGCAAACATGGAGTCATGGAAAGCCAGACATGAAACACAGTGGTGATGAAGCCACATGTCTCGGTGCCTCTCACAGGATCTCTGGCCACCACACTGCTCTCTTAGTTGTCCTTCAGCCTGTATCAGTGGGGCCCAGAGCCTGGCCTCATGCAGCCTAGCCAGCACTTAGCCACTGAGCTACGTCCCCAGCCTTTTTCAACTTTATTGGGAGACAGGGACTCAGTAAGTTGCTCAGTTGCTTAACTTCAGCCTTAGGCTCAGAGTAGCTGGATTAGTTGGGACCTGGGGCTGCTCGTCATTCCTTTCTTTAGAAGCCCAGAGATGTTGGCTTCTACACACCTGGCAGCACCTGAAGAGAGTGGGCTGCTCCTTCCCTAGTGCCTCACATGCCCAGACCATGGACACCTGGGGCCTCTCCAGTCTTTCTCTTGTCTTAATCTAGTAGCCCTAGCCTTGGGCTGCCAAGCCACCCTATCCCAGCAGTGGTCTTCACGAGTTACTGGAACTCCCAGTGGCTGCTGCATGAGGGAGGAGGAATTGGAAGCGAAGCCATGAAGATTCGGTGGTGTTTATTACTACACAGTATTTAGCCGACCTTGATAAACATGGGTACGTAATGTGGTGTTGTCAAAATATGTGGTCAATTGAAAAAATCATTACACTAAAGGACACATTGCCATGAGTCCCCCTAAAAATACTCCTCACTGCTCTTGCTGCTTTATGAGATGGCTCTGGAAGTCCTCTTTCATAAGTGTTTTCATGAGATGTGATAAAAAACTAAGGTGACTGCCACTGTCAAGTGACCTCCACCAGAATGGCAGGCTCACACAAGCAGCACAGGGCATCCTCAGCCAGCTCATTCACTGTGCAACTCCTAGCTCTTCCTGTAAGCCAAAATGACCAGAAAAGTTCAGTGCTTCAATCAGTTCAGAGCATGGAGGCAGCTGCGGCCTGCAACTAAAGACTCTCAGGAAGGAGCACTTCCGGAGCTGCTGCAAGAAGTGGCAAGAAGGAAGGGACAAGAGTGTTTAAAGCAAGGGGGAGGCTTCAGAGGGGGATTGATGACAATGTGTTTTTTCCTATAATAAAATTATTATTGTTGTTATTGTTGTGGTACTGGGGATTGAACTCAGGATCTTGCACTTGCCAGGCAGGCGCTTATGCCACTGAGCTATCTCTCCAGCCCTAAGATAATAAAAATTAAAAAAAAATATAAACACTAATGCCTCTTTTGAGCATATCTTGCACTGCTTTGAGAGAGTGTGTACCTTGTGAGTGAGAGAGGAGAGGGGAGAGGAAGAGGGAGAGAGAGACAGGGTGAAGGGGTTCTCCTCGACCAAAACTTGTTGGCTTCCAGTGGAAGAGTTTGAATATTCTATTTTTTTAAAAACTCTTTTATTTTATTTTATTTTGCTTTTTTGACAGAGTCTTGCTATGTAGTTCAGGCTGGCTTTGAACTCATGGGGATCCTTTTGTGTCAGCCTCCAAAGTGCTGGGATTACAGGTGTGTACCACGCTGCCTTTGTTATTAGGCTGGTCTTGAATTATGTAGCCTGGGTCCGTCCTTGAACTTGCAAGGATTCTTCTGCCTTTGCCCCCTGAGTGCTGGGCTTACAGGTGTCCACAGGCTTCAGCTGCCACTGCACTACTAACTCCCCGGTACTCTTGAGGCACGTGTTAGCCATGTTCTCTTCTGTGGGAAGTCCTTGAGGCAGCTTCAGAGGCTGCATTCTTACGAGATGCTTAACCACTTTCAGCTTTGCATTTACTGAAGGGATGTTCTTATGAACTTGAGGAGTGTGTGCTTTTTCTAATCCAAGCATCTTGATTACATCTTTTCCCCAATATGGTCGTCTTATTGTACTTTTTATTCTGGTAACAACATGTAGTTTATGAGGGTGCTGTGGATCCCCACCATACTTTTCATGATCTTCAGGTGAAGGCTGAAACACTTTATCTGGAATTCTTGATTTGGTAACTTTGTGACGAATCCAATCTGTACCCATGAGAGATTCCACACGTTTTGTCACAGTCTGTAGCCTGCCTGGGGGCCTGTGAACCACTGAACACAAAATCCCTGCCATAGTGTCATAATTATATGTCTTCAGAGATTGTAGGAAGCAAACAGATCTACTGGGGAAATGCTCTGGAAATGGACAGGTTCTCCCCTTTCCTGGTGCCGCGCCCGCTAAACGTCCAGCCTGAACTTCCGCACAAAGCAGAAGCCAGTGAATATTCTATTATGAAAGCTGTGTTTATTTTAGGTTTGGGCCCTGCATGAAGCCTCTTGTTCCTAAAAATCTATAGCTGTCTTAGAAGTGATTTTAAAAACTGCTGTAACTATTTATAAGTGTACAGTACATTTTAGTAGTGCAAAGGATCTTTGCATAGTGGTGCAACAGATCCAAAGCTGAAATTCTACCCCAGTGAAGAACACCAGCTAGTCCTCCCTCCCTCCAGCCTGGGGACTGCCGCTCTGTGTTCTGTTGCTCTGAATTGAATTACTCCAGACAGCTTTTACAATACAAGCCACTTGAAAGTTCTCAGTGTGTAGGGTCCTAGTCCCTACTTTTCTCCTCCTGCTTACTAAACTTTCCAAGATACACAGATGCAGAGGGAGCGGAAGTACAGTTCTAGCTTTCGCCACACTTAGCTCTTGCTCCCTGTGGGAAAGAATGAGTAATACGGGTGCTCCTCTGCACAGTGAGAGTCTGGGGCTCAGAGATGCTTTCAAAGGGCCTCGCTTCTCTGGATCCCTGCACCTCCTGGAGGGAGCCACCCCCTTGCCAAGGCCTGACTGCTACCTACATTTTTAGCAGAGTTATCCAGAGCATAGTTCCAGAGCAGAGTTCCAGAGCCCTGAAGGTCAGTTTGAAAGGTAGACAATTTCTGGGACAGCACGAACAAACCTCACTGAGACAGTTTCCTTTGATCCTATTGGACCCAAGCCCACAAGGGACAGTGTGCTTAAACTACGCCCTCAGCTGAGGCATTATCATTAGCTTACACCACTGAGAAGTTTCTCCTTTTTTAAAAAAAAATTAAATTTGGGGGAAGCCAGAGCTTTAAGTTGATTCAAGAAGCTGAATTCATATTTAGAATCTTTCCAGTTACCAAGTGGCTTAAGCTGACCAAGAGAAGTTCTCTTAGTAGCCCGACAGGCCTGGGTTAGATCACATATCCCTCATTACATGGTCAGTACTTCTGACATTTCTTCTAGCTCTGATTTTTTCTTTGTGTGTGTGGGCCAGGACCAAAAACTCAGGACCTTGCACACGCCAACCAGGTGCTGATACCACTGAGCTGTCTCCCTGGCCCTCAGCTCTGATTTTTAGTATCTTTGTTACTTCTTCTAGAATCAGTTTTGGATAAGACCTACAGATT